GGGTCCGTTTCCCGGGCGGCCGCCCTAGCCCGGCCGCCGACGTGCAGCTTTGTATCCGGCAGGCCCGACCGGGAAGCCCCCACTGCGCTGCTGCGGCCGTCAGCTTATGCGGCCGGAGCTCGTGCGCATGTCGTTTCCCCGGCCTCCTTTGGGAGCCTCAGTGTATCCTCCCTCAATAGGCAGCCAGGGTTCCTGTCACTGAGCCCGCATTCTTCAAGAGTTGCAAGCTGACACCGGCCTTGAAAACCTGGGGAAGCGAGGCAGTGCGGCGAGGCCATGTTCAAAGAGCAGGGGCCGAACTGGGGCCAGTTTGCCTCATGCACGAAATAGAGGGAAACAGGCGGTACCGTGTCCGCCTCTGGGAGGGTCTGGGAGGGACAAGAGAGAGGCAAACATAAGGGAGGTGACACAAGTATTTATAACACAACCCACAAGGGGAGGGGAGGGGAGGGGGAAAACAACAAAAAACAACAGACACACACACACACCCTCCTGACACACAAATACAAAGAAAATAACATAATCTCAGCCGCCTCCCCTAACAAGCAGCCTATCTGCCGGGCTTTACTGGCGGGCGAAGAATCTCAGCCAGCACCAGGACCGACTGAGCAGCGCCCTGGGGCCAAGGAGTGATTGCTGGGTAGCCAGCCGCGTAGCCCGTCCGCCGAAACACCTGCCCAGATTCCTCACACAAGAGACACAGAAATACAAAGAGACAGAGGACACAGACACCCTTAATCGCACTACCTTCAACCCTCTGTTGTGTTTGGATTGTTCAGAGCACTTAGCTACCGTGAACCTAACACTACCAATACGAGCGTACCGCAAGCCTACGTTCACCGATCATTTTATCTGGAGCTGCATAGACCTATGCTGGCTAACAACGCTTGAGCCCAGGAGTTTGAGGTTGCTGTGAGCTAGGCTGACGCCACGGCACTCACTCTAGCCTGGGCAACAAAGCGAGACTCTGTCTCAAAGAAAAGAAAAGAAAAGATTAGTTCAACTTTGGAAAGCCACTCAAGGGTCCTGAGGAGGTCTGGGGTCTCCTGGTGTGTGTGTGTGGGGGGGGGGTGGACCACTCAGAATGCCAGGGTGAGGGGCAGGCCATGGGGCCCAACACACGCATTGCCGCAGGGCCAGCATGAGAGCTGCGCGGCCTGTGCAGTCACACGGCCACACGCTCGGGGGCTCCGTGCTTGGCTGAATGCTCTGCTGTTGCTGTCCTGAAATTCCTAATACTTTTCCAACAAGGGCCCCACAAATTATGTATCTGGCCCTATGTTGCAGGGATATCTCACTTGCCCCTACATCTACCCTACCAGGTAAGGCAGTGAAGGGTACCATTCCCTCCTTAAAATGAAGAAACTGAGGCTCTGAGAGGATAAATCAACTGTCTCGGAGTATAGCTAGTCAGTGGAAGGGCGGTGGCCCAGCCCAGGTCTTGGGGCTGCCACCTGGGAGCCAGTCACCTGCAGCTCCCTGAAAGCAGTGCTTGGGCTCCGCTGGGCCTGGCTGCAGGGACTGCTGGGTGCTGCTGTCTCCCCTCCTCACCCACCCTAGGCTGGGCTGCCACAACCTCCTGAGCAGCAGGCGGCAGGTGCTATTGGCCCCAGGCCAGCCGGAACTGGGAAAAATACACACGGATCTGGGTCACAAGGCCAGTTGCACAACTGCAACATCCAGCTATTAGTGAAACAATTTAACAAGAGCAAAGCAAACAGAAGTAATCATTAAAGCTCAGGTCCCTCCTCTGCATTCAGCCTCCTCCCCCAACTCCAAAAGCAATTTAGAAAGGGCAAATTCAAGGACAGAGCGCGAAGAATTCTCCACCAATAGCTGAAAATCTGCCCACTAAAGCTGGCATATCAAATCACACCATGTCTTTGGCTTCCTGAACAGACTTTTAAGAGGCATGTCTAAGGAGGCAAGTTTGGCCCAAACACCATTCCAGGAGCTGGAGATACAATCTTCAACAAACCAGATAAAATTCTTGCCCTCAGGTGCTCACAGACTAATGGGAGGAGAGAGAACAAGCATAATAATTAAGTGAATGACACAGTGTGTTAGGAGATGGCAGGTGGTTAAATGAAAAGACACAAATGGGTGCTTACTCTGTGTCTAAATGCTGTACACACACTGTGCCATCTCTCCTCGTTCCCATTGGACAGAAAAGCACAGCAAGCTGAGTAAGTCGTGCCAGGCCCTATAGGCAGTGAGAAAGCAAGGAGTATCGACAGGAAAGGGCAAGAGGATGCTATTTCTCCCCTTCCGACTTTGTTCTGAAAAGAGCAACATGAGCACGAAGCCTGGCTTTCTCCCTGGCCTCGAACTGTGGGGCACTAATCATGGGATACCCCGTCTCCCCTCCCCAGTATTCTCAGAAGATCTGATGGGGTGGTGGGACCCTCCAAGCTTTCCCTTTTCTCCCAGAGCTAAGGCTTTGGAGCCGACAGCCCTGAGTTCAAGACCCGGCTCCACCAGCCACTGAAAATGGCTTCACTCAGCAGCGTCTCCTTCTCCTCCAAGTTAAAATGAAAACGAACTCCCCCTCTCAGGTGACGAGGGAATGGAAGTCTGCACCCCAAGGTGTCCATACGGCAGTGAACACCCCCTGTGTGCCTGTTCATGTGCACGCCCCTCTCTCGGGGCCCCTCCAGCCCTCCCGCTTCCCTTCTGAGTGCTGAGAGGCTGGGCCGTGGGCTGAGCTTGGGGGACGCTGGCTAGGGGCCTGATGAATGCACACCGCAGAGGAAGGTGCACGGACGGTGGAACCTGTTTCAGAACCCAGGTCCCGGAGCCTTGCGGTTCACAGACCTTAAAGCAGGCGTCCTCAAACTACGGCCCGCAGGCCACATGCAGGTTTCTGCCCATTTGTTTTTTTACTTCGGAAATAAGATATGTGCAGTGTGCATAGGAATTTGTTCATAGTTTTTTTTTAAACTATAGTCCGGCCCTCCAACAGTCTGAGGGACAGTGAACTGGCCCCCTGTTTAAAAAGTTTGAGGACCCCTAAAGAGTGCAGGTCTGTGACACACAAATGGCTCGTCCTCCGGGGCGCAAACATGAAGCGCTCAATACATTATCAACGTTCCGTGCTGAGCCCAAGCCCTGGAGGAAAGCGGAGTTAAGCTGGGGCCCTGATGGCACCTGGGCACTCGGGACCGGAAGCAGGCGAGGCAGCCCAGGCTAGCCGGCCTCGCAGAGCTGGGCGTTTTCCACTTGAAAAATCAACGCCTCACACAGACACAGCCTTTGGCAGGCAGGCCCCTCCAAGGCCAGAGGCCAGAGCTGGCCTCGCCTCTTTCCCTTAATTCATGTACCTGCCCCTCAAACCTCGATGTGTGACCTGGGTCCCAGGCCCACCCTTTTTATCTGGAGCCCATGAGGTCCAGGGCAAGACCCTCAAGTGCCAGCCCTGTATGGCGGAAGGGTGCGGTGCGGAGGGACAGGGAAAGAGGACTGAAAGCAGTGACTTCGCCAACAAGCTCAACCTCAGCGGAACCTACTGAAGCCCACGGGGACGGAGGAGGGGCAGGAGGTGGGAATCCTCATGCTCAGCCTGGGTACGGGGCGGCTTTTCGGAACCAGGAGTCCATGAGCCAACACAGCTCTCACGGCCCGGACACGAGCTGTCGGCATTAGGACTGCCCTGAATCCCATCAAGGGCCTTTCCTTGTTCAGAACTGCCCTGGGTCTGCGAGCTTTTGTCCAGGGACACTGGTGCCCGCCTCACAGCTGCCTGGAGGAGGCGGGAAGCTGGCAATGTTTGCTAGATGGCCCCGGTGCTCAGGACAGGTTGGAAAACCACGCCAGCCAGTAAAGAGGCCCAAGGCCGACGTCCTCTCTGGGCCTAAATCCCAACATGTCCCCAAGCCATGGGGTCACGGCAGGCTAGGGACCTCTCTCTCTGGGTAGGCTTCTCCCTTTGGGAGAGGAGCAGTCCCTCTGTGACACAGGCATCATTTGATGGAGAGGAAGGCACCCATGGAGAGGCCGTGCCACTGATGCCCACGTCTGAGCTCTCAATCACGCTGCACTCTGTTGGGGTGCCTCCTGCACGCAGCCCTCACAGGTGGGGACCTTATTTTTAGCCCCAATTTGCAGGTGGTGAAACGGAAACACTGAAAGGACTCACACACTTACTGAGCTCATCCAGCTGAGTGGTGAAGGGGAAGTCTGAACCCAGAGCCTTTGCCCTAACTTCTAGAATATACCAAGCAGCTCAGTGGCGATGGCAGAGCTATGATTCTAATCCAGCTCCTCCCTACACCAAACCCCTGTTTTCCCAGCTCGACACCAAGAGTGGCTGCCAGGACAGCCCCTAGGGCTTCATACCTTAAGGAAAGGACAGGTGGAGACCCCCTTCCCTGGCACAAGGTGGACCAAGAGGTAGGTGGACCCCACAAAGGGCCCTTTGTGGTGACTGCAGAAAGCCAAGGCCAGACCCTGATGGCCCCCAAGCAGAGCTCTGCCCAGGGCTCCCCGCCTCCTCCCCTTCCCATGTGCCCCACACCCAGAGCACAGGGTGGGGGCTGGCTGGGGACAGGCCTCTGATGAGCCCAGCCTAAAACCCTCCAGCTGCTGCCAGGCTGGCTGGGGCTGCAGGCCCCCGCAGGCTCACCCCAGGTGCTCAGGCCCCACCTGTCAGCTGGGGAGGGGTCCACTGAAGGAGGCTGGGGGGGGGGAGATGCCGGGTTGTAAGGGTTGTTCCCATGGGGGGAGGGAGGAAATCTGTTTCCCAGACTGGGGGGAGGGGAATGCAAGGTGTCAGGGGAGGCAGGGGAGGGGGCTTGGCGGGAGGAAGGTGGGTGGGTTTGTCTCGGGCTGCACAAGGGGCCACTCCGGGGCTCTGGCTGGCCTCATGTGCGGCCAGGGGCCCGCCCGGGGTCCGCGAGGCATGCACGGGGCAGGGGGCGCCTGTGCGTGCAGGGCGGGAGGGTTCCGCGGCGCCCCCTCTGCCCGCGGAGGGGCTCCCGAGTGGCGGGGGTCGCCACACTCACCTCCTGAAGTCAAAGGGCATCGTGCCGCCGCCGCCGGGGGTGGGAGCGCTGCAGACCAGGCGGGCCGCGGCGCCGCGTGGGTCCCAGCCCGCTGCCAACGCCTCCTCCGCCGTCCCGCCCCCGCCGGCCGTCCGGCTCTCGCCACTCGCCGCCCGCCGCCGGGAAGTGACGCTCCGCGCAGCCCATTGGGCGCCGCCCCCGGCCGCCCCTTCCGCCGCGGGTTAAAGGGCCCGAGGCGGCGGCGGGGGCCGGGCCTGGGCGCGGGAGCCCGGCCTCCAGCCCTCGCTCTCGCTCCTTCCGGCCTCGCGCCCGGTCTCCCTCTCGTCTCCGTGCGGCCGGGGCAGATCGCCCTGCCTCCCAGAGCCGCCTCTTCCGCATCTGCAGAACGGTTCCGAGTTGGGGGAGTCCATGGGCTGCTGCGGGCACGGGGAGGTCAGGCCGCCCCAGACTTGCCAAGAGGCCCGCGCCCGCTCCCAGGGGCCTCTCTGGAAGAGCCCGGGCCTCTCCGAGCAGCCCTTCCTCTGCGCATCTGCACAAGGACGACGGCGACGCTTTAGGAGTTTTCCTGGGGGTCACATGAGAACTGGTTACTGACGGCGCAGAGCCTGGCACCCGAGGCCACAGTATTGATAGTGGGCGCCGTGGCTGTCCGTGCCCACCTCCACCGGCGGGCCGCTGCAGCGGGTTCTCCCGGGCGCCGCCCTAGCCGGGCCCACGTGCGAGTTTGTCTCCCAGGCCGACCGGGCCTGCGCTGTGCCTCAGCTTATGGCGGACTGTGCCATTGTTCCCCTCTTTGAGCCTCAGTTTCCTCCTCAAAAAGGCCCCCAGGGTTCTGTCACTGACCCCTTCTTCAAGGTTGCAGTGACACAGGCCTTGAAAAACCTGGGGAGGACAGTGGGAGGCATGTTCAAAGAGCAGGGCCGATGGGCAGTTTCCTCATGCACAAATAGAGGGAAACAGCGGTACCTGTCCCTCTGGGAGGGTCTGGAGGGACCTGCCAGCATGGGGTGGGCCAAAGCCTTCCCCCCAGGGGGCATCCACCGAGGCCTGGCAATTGCTTCTCCTCCCTCTGACCCCTACTCTCCCTCCCGATGCATCCCTTCCTCACCCTCCCAACAAGCAGCCTGGCACCCTGGCGGGAGAGAATCTCAGCCAGACCAGGACCTTGAGCAGCCCTGGGCCAAGGAGTGATTGCTGGGTAGCACCGTACCCGTCCTCAAACACCTGCCCAGACTTCTACACAAGAGAGAAATAAACACCTATCATCTTTCAGCTCTGGTTGTTTTGGATTTTCAGACACTTACACCTGAACCTAACACTAATACACGTACCCAGCCTAGTTAATTATTATACTTGACTGCACAAATACTACACACGGAATAGGCTGGTACCCTGTTCTATGGCCCTGGTACGCTGTAGCTTTCCTTGGGAGAAGGCGGCACAATTTGTGATTAGATGATTATTAATGGCTAATAGCTACCTTCCTATCTTGAGTGGAAGCTCCTCAGGGAGGGTGGTGTCACCTTTGTGCCCTAGTGTCCCACCAGAGCCTGCCCATGCGGCGGCGTGGTAACCGTGCTGAAGGCTGACGGAGGCTTCGAGGGGCGGGCCTTCCCGCAGAGCAGAGAGGGCCCGTGACAAGTGTCTTTGCCTTGGGACTGTTGAGGTCAGTAAGCAGACCAGACTGTCAGTCCCAGCTGGTCCGTCCACGCAGGAGACAGCGAGATGGAGGTAAAGAAATCAGACTGTGGCTGCAGTATATGGGAAGGTTGTGGACCTCTTTGAGCAGGGGAGTGACTCAATAAAAGCTGAGTTTTAGAGCCAGGTTCAGTGGCTCATGCCCATAATCCCATTAATTTGGAGGTCAAGGTGGGAGGGTCATTCAAGGCCAGGACTTTGAGACTAGCCTGGCAATATAGCACAGACCCCATCTCTAAAAAATAAAAAACCACAGAAAAACATTAACCAGGCTCAGTGGAATACGCCTATAGTCCCTGCTACCCAGAAGCTGAGGTGGGAGGATCACTTAAGCCCAAGAGTTGAAGGTTGCAGTGTATTTTGATCACACCACTGCACTCCAGCCTGGGTGACAGAGCAAGACCCTGTCTCTAAAAAACATAAGTAAATAAAGTTGAGTTTTCCATTTTTGTAGCAGCCAACCTCCAGTGACCCTGATCTCCTAGTATCCCATGCCCTTGTATAATCACCTCCCACAATGAACAGGGTGGACCTGTCCTGTGCAATCAACAGGACATTGCAGAAACACCAGGGTATGACTCCTGAGACCAGGTCATCCAAGACATTGATGGCCAGGCCTGGGGCTCACGCCTGCAATCCTAGCACTTTGGGAAGCTGAGCTGGAAGGATCACTTGAGCCCAGGAGTTCAAGATGAGCATGGGCAGCCCAGGTGCGGTGGCTCATGCCTGTAATCCTAGCACTCTGGGAGGCTGAGGTGGGTGGATTGCTTGAGGTCAGGAGTTCAATACCAGCCTGAGCAAGAGCGAGACCCCGTCTCTACTAAAAATAGAAAGAAATTAATTTACCAACTAAAAATATATATACAAAAAAAAAAATTAGCCGGGCATGGTGGCGCATGCCTGTAGTTCCAGCTACTCGGGAGGCTGAGGCAGAAGGATTGCTTGAGCCTAGGAGTTTGAGGTTGCTATGAGCTAGGCTGACACCATGGCACTCACTCTAGCCTGGGCAACAAAGTGAGACTGTATCCAAAAAAAAAAAAAAGATGAGCATGGGCAACATAGCGAGACCCCATCTCTAAAAAAAAAAAAAAAAAAAATTAGCCAGGCATAGTGATACATCCCTATAGTCTGTCCCAGCAACTCGGGAGGCTGAGACAGGAGGATCGCTTAAGCCTGGGAGTTTGAGGTTGCTGTGAGCTAGGCTGACACCGCAGCACTCTAGCCCAGGCAATAGAGTGAGACTCAGTCTCAAAAAAAAAAAACAACTTTGGGGCTCTGCTTAACCTCTCTTGAATCACCTGTTCTGGGTGCTCGAGCATGATTACGGTAGGGTCCACGTGGTGAGAAGCTGAAGCCTCTGGCCAGCAGCCATGTGACTGAGCTGTCTTGGAAGCACATCCTCAGCCCAGGTCAAGTCTTCAAGCTGCTGCCCGGCCCCCGACTAACTACAGCCTCATGAGAGACCCTGAACCAGAGCCACCAGCTCAGCTGCTCCCGGCGAGCTGCTCCTCACCCACATAAACTGTACAAGAATAAACGCTTATTTTAAGCTGCTAGTTTATGCATAATCAGCTACACAGCAGCAGATAATGAACACAGACTCCATCCCATTTTCCTTTTCTGCCAGCAACTTCCGCCTGTTTTCCTTCATCTCACCCCAACCACCCTGGGAAAATAGAAAACCACTCCGGACTCAGACAACTCTCTAGCTGGGTGACCTGAACAAGCTGCTTAACTAGCTGAGTGTCCAGGTATGCAATGAAGGATAATAATACCTTACTTGTGACAGGTAGTCTCTAAAACTGCCCCAGTTAATCCACCTCCTGGTATTCATGCCCTTGTGTCATTTCCTCCCTTCAGGTGTAGGCTGGACTTCCTGTCTCACTTCTAATAAACAGAATATGGCGGAAGTGATGGGCATGTTGCTTCTGAGATTAGGTTACAAAAAGATTGTGACTTCTGTCTTGGACATTCTCACTGTCTCTCGGATCAATCACATTTCAGCTCCCATGTGGCAAGGCAGCCCAGTGGAGAAGCCCCGAGAGTGAACTTGCAAGTGAACCTTCCAGGGCCTGACAACGGCCGTGTGCATGAGTTTAGAAATGGATCCCTCAGCTCCAGTTGAGCCTTGACATGACCGCAGCTCTGCTGACAGCTTGGCTGCCACCTCCTGAGAGACCCTGACCACAGGCATCCAAACGTTTGTTGTTATAAGCCCCTAAAGTTGGGGTAGTTGGTTATGCAGCAACAGATAATAAATACATTGTCCTAAAAGCTGGCTGTGAAAATGAAGTAAATGTATAGTGCCTGGCACATAGTAGATGCTAATTAAATGCTTGCTGAATGAATCAATCAATAAACACATGAACGTTCTATAATGCAGAAATGTTCCCTGAATCCAAATACTCTCTTCCTCCCACTCCTGCCAACGACGTCACTGAAAGTTGTTTTAAGCAGGGGAATGGCTGGGTCACATTTGTTTTTCTGTAATGGGAGATTGGTTTGTGTTCCATGGGTGTGGCTTGTTCAGCTGTGGTCTGGATAAAGAAAGATTAAAAAATAATAATCCTTTGTCAGCTCAGAGAGGACGTGAGGGTGACTTAGGTCTCATAGCAGGTAGGTCTCTGAAGAACTCTCCTTTCTTGCTCTATTAAAGTCTCCCAAGCAATTAGAAGACACTCGTTCATTCATCATTCTTTCTCCTATTCATTCATTATACCACTATTTACTGCACACCTCCTTATGACAGGCGCTCTGGATATAGAAATGAGCATGACATATCCCTGATTTCAAGAAAGAAGGGAGGAGGTAGGCAAAAGTGTGATGCCAGCGCAAAAACTCAGGGGCAAGAGCATGAATCCCTGGTGCGGTTTTATGTGGAAGGTGCAGCACACGGCAGCACCGGATGTTCCGGGAGTCCAGGAGGGATCCCCGATCCACCCATGGGCGTGAATTCCTTCAGCTGAAGGGGACAGAAGTCATCTCAAATTAATGCACACTATCTAAGGCAAGAAAGAAAGAGAGAGGTTCTTTGAGAATTCAAAGAGCAGGAACAAAAAAGAAAAAAAAGAAAAAGAAATATTATTTATATTTTTAAAAATAGAAAAAGAAAGAAAGACAGAGGAGAAGGAAGGGAAGGAGGGAAAAGAAAAGAGGAAAAGTTTATGGTAAAACAATAGAAAGGAAGAAAAGAAAAAAGAAAAGTCCAAAAGCCCAGAGGTAGATTCGGGTTTCAGGCACATTGAATCCAGGTGTTTCAATAACTGCCCAGGAATCTGTCTCTTCCCATCCTAGGCTCATTTTTAATCCTGGCTTCACGTTGAACAGGCTTCCTCCTATGCTGGCAAAATGTCTGCCTGTAGCTCCAGGCTGAAGTCATCCCACTCGGCAACTCCAGAAGATAAAGATCAGCTCTTCCCTGATTCCTTTGCACAGGCTCCTGAGCTGCCCCTCAAGGGCCCCAAGTGTGGCTCCAGGGGACTGGGGTGTGCAAACCA